CCCTATTGTATCCGAATATACGAGTGTCAGAAAGGAATGGGGTCATTTTCGTAGAAGACGTTTGTTATGTAACTTGTCGATACCAGAAGAGCTGGCAAAGATACCACTGTCGAGCTTTGTCCAAACTTTAAAAAAAGCAAACACATTTCCCTCAAAGAGACCACTGAACCCCTCCCAAAGCACAAGGGAGGAGGAACATGCTTGCACCAAGGGAAAGGTATTTTGTGGGTTTTGTTTTAAGAAAGAACAGGCCTAATCAAGGGAAAGCTTAGGAGGTATCCAGCCAACCCTGTATCCTGGTAAATAAATAGCCTGAGATTTACATCTGGAAGTTGGAAGACTTGAAGTCAGTTATAATTGTACCAAGAAACTGCAAACACATTTAAGAGGTATAAATGCACTCATCTCATTTCCTGGTAACATTAAGGAGACAGGTAAATGGAAGCTATTACTTCCTGCTTTCCAGAAGGAATCATTTAGTCATTTACAAATTAAGTTTTAAGTGGTCACCATACAACAGGTGGAGAGAATATAAACTGTTAGAAAGCTACGCAATAAACATTTCTTGGGTACAACTATATTACCTGTAGAATGCCAGTCTGTGTAGCCTTGTGGGAGGGATATCTTTTTTTTTTTTTTTTTTTTAAAGATTTATTTATTATGTATACAGAAGAGGGCGCCAGATCTCATTACAGATGGTTGTGAGCCACCATGTGGTTGCTGGGAATTGAACTCAGGACCTCTGGAAGAGCAGTCAGTGCTCTTAACCTCTGAGCCATCTCTCCAGCCCCGTGGGAGGGATATCTTAATTTTCTGCCAGGAAATGACATGTGAGAAGCTCACCCGGTTCCTTTCTTGGAACTTGGAGAGAGCAGAGTAGATTCATTTTCTGGAAATAGAGCCACACATCAGTTTCAGAAGAGCCTTGGAAATCATTTACATTTCAAGGCCAGCTTAGTAGTATCTCATTTTAACAGTTACATAGTAGGGCTGGGGGGGGGGTGGCCCAGTGGGTAAAGTGCTTGGCATGTAATCGTGAGGACCTGAGTTCAGATCCCAGCACCTGTAAAAAAAAGCTAAAGACAGCAGCAGAGGACTGTAGCCCCATAGTTTAGGGGTCACAAAGAACATTCTGGCCTGCCAATCTAGACGAGCTGATGAGCTCCAGGCTAGTGAGAGACCTGTCTCAAAAAATAAAGGGAAAAGGGATTGAGGCAGACACTGGATAACCTGTGGCCTCCATCTGCACACATGTATACATACATATACTACACACACACACACACACACACACACACACACACACACACACACACACGAGAGAGAGAGAGAGAGAGAGAGACAGAGACAGAGACAGAGAGAGACAGACAGAGAGAGAGACAGAGAGACAGACACAGAGAGACAAACACAGAGAGACACAGAGAGAGACTGAGAGAGATGGAGAGAGACAGCGACAGAGACAGAGAGAGGGAAAGAGGAAAAGAGAGAGAGTAGGAGAGGAGAGAAAAACCTATAGCAGTCTGAGGATTTACCTCGGTGGTAGAGAACTTGTACAGCAAACATGGGCTTAGGTCCCATCGCCAGCCCCAGGGTGGGGAGGGGGAGGGGAAATCCTAAATTAAAATACACCAGAGGATGAGATTTTTCCTCATTGAACATTCTGTTTCCCCCCTTTTCCACAATAGTCCTTGATGATTTCCCTGTAAGTGTGGCCATGTGCCAGGTGGAAAAAGAAAGGACCACCATCACAGGCGTGCCTTCAGCCAAGAGGCACGGAGAGCGGAACTGGGCCATGTGTAATTCTCTCAGCCCACAGTCACCATCAGTTTCATTTGCATATCTATCTTGAGGAATTATGGGATACCCAGAGCTATTTCTAGAATGCTATTTGCATAATTGTTCTAATCTTTTATGAATACGGTGGCATGTGTGGTCTGACAAAGGATTTTTGGAAAAAAAAATTGTTAAGTTGCTTTATAAGGTTTGTAAGGATATTAGAATTAAATAGTGGTAGGTATATATTTAATAACCTGTCTCTATTGAAAGGAACACAATTACATAAAGCCATTAGTCTGCTGTCAATGGCTTATTACCCTTGCTATTGTTGTTCGCTAAAAGTTTAATATTTAAAGTTTATTTCTCCTTCACTGCCCCCCCACCACCACTTCTTACAAAGATTTAAATTCACTTAAACACCATGGGGAAAATTTCCAGTTGTTTTGTGACTCTCTGACCCCCGATGTTTCTTAGTCTGTAGGTGTTTGACATGTTTCTGGCTTTGGATGCTAGCTGCAAAAAAACAAATAGATTCACTGGTCTTTGCCATCCTGATGTGCTCATGATCAGATTACCTAGGTTTCTCCATTTCAAATGTGACCCTGGCTCTGCTTGGTTAGCAAGTTCTTTTTGTGGGGAATCAAGACTGTAAGCAGGAAACACATGCCAGTCTAGCTCTCCATCGCTGGAACATTCTCAGACCACAGCGGGGAGGAGCACTCATTTCTGACCTGTGAACATCGTGAGTCCCGAGCCACATCCTCTCCCCGATTCTGGCTCCATTCCCGAACCAGCCAGGCCCTGACAGGACCTGCAGCCCATGTTTGCTTCTGGTCACATTAAAGGCTAAGACCTCCTGTCCTTGTCGTTGCTAATGTGTGCCTGTTGTTGGCAAAGTATAGATTTATAGAAATGGGTTAACTGTTGGCTGTCACCACACATCCTTATTAAGTCTGGACATGCAACTTTGGGTCTGTCATCAGTCCCAACATCCAAACCAATTTGAGGTCAGTGTGAGGTTAAATCCTGCTCTCAGAAGGATAAGCAGTACCAAACGGACATCTTTATTTTTAAATTTTGGTTTTGAGACAGGGTCTCATGCTACGTAGGTAGCCTCAAACTCACTATATAATAGGAAGGCCTTGAATTCCTGATTTTTCCAGCCTCCGGCTCCTGAGTGCTGGGATTATAGCCATACGCCTCCATATCTAGCCACTGCTATTTTATTTATTTTTTTTATAAATAATTGTTCATCTTCATTTTATGTGTATTGCTGTTTTGTCTGTATGTTTGTCTGTGGGCCACATGCATGTCTGGGTCCCCTGGAGGCCATGATCCTCTGAAAGAGTGTTCTTAACCACTGAGCCATATCTCTAGCACCCCACGGTTATTTTAAAAGATAACAAATAGCTGTGGGATGTCTTTCTGTATGCTGTGAATATGTGTCGCTCTGATTGGTTGATAGATAAAGCTGCATTGGCCTATGGCAGGGCAGGGTGGAGCCAGGCTGGAAAAATCCAAGAGAGAAAGTGGGAGGAGAAAGGAGAGGAAGGAGACGCTGCTAGCCGCTGCCAGGAGATGTAAGATGTAAAGTACCGGTAAGCCACAAGCCACGTGGCAAAGTATAGATTTATAGAAATGGGTTAACTTAAGATGTAAGATCTGGCTTACAAGAAGTCTGAGCCATTAGGCCATATAGTTTGAAAGTAATATGAGTCTCTGTGTATTTACTTGGGTCTGAGTGGCTGCAGGACCAGATGGGACACAGGAAAACTTCTGGCTACCACACACTGAAGTTTAAAATATAACAAAATGATAATGCATTAGAAAGAAATATTCAGCTTAGTGATCAGAAAAGAGATGATGAGGATGTTTATCAAGATGACTCCAAACAAGAGTCACTTGAGTGTTTCTTCATGCTTTGAATGTGTGTGCTTCAGGAGCCCCACCACCACCACCACCCGAGATCCTTGCCAGTGGTCAACTCAACCAGCTTTCCCAGGGCCTTCATTGCCCGGGCCATATGCCAGATGTACTCACCTCTCCCCATGGCAAAGGAAGCTCAATTTCCTTTTAGTAAAGTGAGGGAGATTATATCATCTCTCTCCCTCGATCAGAATTTAAGTCCCACAGTCCCACGTGGACAGACTCTGAATAGGGGAACAAATGATCTGTAGAGGGCAGCTATAATCTATAGTTCTCCTCTTCTACTGATGGATTTCTCTGCTCTTAATGAAATGGAAGAAAAATAATAGAGAATATTAACATTTGCCATGCAGAGGACTAATAATTTATTTTTATATCCCCATAAAAACATAGCGAATGATATTGGCTATGCATCTTGTGTTCGAGAAGCAAAATATTATCTTCTAAAATTTTACACAGAAACAAATACTCATTTATGTGAAGATTCTTGGCCTGAACTATTTGGCTTCTTAATTTTGTACTCCAACTTGGGATTTAAAAAAAAAATTATCTCAAGTTAGTGTTTAAGATGGGTGTGGTAGAAGCATTCTGGGATTCCATCACTTGGGGGGCAGAAGCAGAGGCTCATGATTTCAAGGTAAGGTCCCATTACAGAACCTGTAAAGCCAGCTTGGCTACATGAAATTCAGTTCCAAACTCAAGCCTATGCCCCCCAAAAGTAATTGTTTAAGGAACCCACCCTTCCATGGCCCTCAGAGACAGAAGGAGAGGGGAGTGCTATAGTTTGCATCCGATTGGCTGGTTTGTGCCACAGTTGCCTCATGTTAGGCACTTGGGCACAGCAGTGTTGGGGGTGGAAGCTTTAGGTGGTAGGGCCTATAGGGAAGTAACTGAGACATTGGGGGTGATGTTCTTAGGGGTGGGATTTAAATTCCCTTGAGAATCTGATTAGTGCTCTCAAAGGAGTTGTGTTGGCCAGTTTTATACCAACTTGACACAGCTAGACTTATCTGAAAGGAGAAACCCTCAGTTGAGAAAATGCCTTTATAAGATTGGGCTGTAGGCAAGGCTATAAGGCATTTTCTTAGTAATTGATGGGGGAGCGGTGCAGCCCATGTGGGTGGGTGGTCCTGGGTTCTATAAGAAAGCAGACTGAGCAAGCCATGATGAACAAGCCAGTAAGCTGCAGCTCTCCATGACCTCTGCATCAGCTCCTGCCTCCAGGTTCCTGTCCTGTTTTGAATTCCTATTCTGACTTCCTTCAATGATGAACAATGATGTTGATTTTTTTTTTTTAAACAGGCTCATCTTTTTATTGGACATGTTAACAAAAGAGGTTTAATCAAAAAGACCAAAGCCCATGTCGTCATCAGACTCCTCAGATTCTTCTTTCTTTGCTTCCACTTTCTTCTCCTCAGCTGGAGCAGCAGGCACCGCTCCAGCTCCTGGAGCAGGCCCACCAGCCCCTACATTGCAGATGAGGCTCCAAATGTTGACACTGGCCAGGGCCTTTGCAAACAAGCCAAACCAGAAAGGTTCAACATTGACACCAGCTGCTTTAATGAGGGCATTGATCTTGTCCTCTGTGACTATCACCTCGTCCTCCTGCAGGGTGAGGGCAGAGTAGATGCAGGTGAGCTCGGAGATGGAGGCCATGTCGTCTTGGACTGGCATGGTGCTAGTCTCCAGATGAAGCGAGGACCTCACCCCAATGCAGCCTAAGCTTCCTCAGAAGGACCGAGCACCTTGGCGGCAGCTGATCAAAGGGATATTGATGTTTAAGGGAAAATAAATTCTTTCCTCCCCAAGTTGCTTTCTTTATGATGTTTCATCATAGCAATAGTAACCCTAACTAAGACTGTTTTTTTTTTTTTTGAGACAGGGTTTTGTGGTGGTATTCTAATTGTACTGAAATGTGATTTTGATTGTATGTTAATAAATAAAGTTGCCCGGGGGTCAGAGCTATTAGA